AGGGGGAAACGAGCGGAGAAGAGGGCCGCAAAGGAGAAGGAGAGGGGGAAAAAACGGGGGGAGAAAGAGAGAAAGAGAAAGAGCAAGTGCAGGCGGGCCAGGGGGGGGAAGGGAAGGGGAGAGGGAGTGTCTTTGGTTCCCTCCCCCCCTGGCGAAAGGCCGAAAGAAGGTGGAAGAAAAAAAACCACCCCACCCGGGCGGTGTTTGGTAGCGGGGCGGTGCTGCCGCTCAAGGTCGCCGACGCCAAATACACCGCGGGCAGACACCGAGACAAGGGGCGAAAGCCCGCCGAGGCACGGACCGGAGACCGGCAACTGGCTAGGACCATCTGCCAATGCATGGGATACATGTGATTGTCCTCCACGAGCGGCTGGTCACGCGGGTGTTGATGTAAGGCCCTCGCCACGATGTTCGGCCGATTGAGTTAAAGAGGGCTTGGTTGGCCTCCGGCGGGCCGAGGGCCGTGGGTCCCGGTGTCACCACCCGCCGGGGCTCGGGGTTCGGGTGCCCCCACACTGGCAGAAGCGTTTGCTGGCCTTGGCGAACCCGGGGGCTCTACAATGGTTGGTAGTCGCGCAATAGCAGCGCCCCGGGGGGCGAGCGGGGGGGGGGGGACGCGCGGCCGCGTTAGCAAGCAGGCAGGGGGTCTCCGAACAGTTTGCTGATGCATCTGGCGAATGCGCCAGCGAATAAGGCATGCTCGGACTTCCTCCGTTCTTCGGGCCGGCTCCCTGGCCGAGGGCTGGAGGCGTGTGGCGGAGCCAAGGGACCCGTTGCTTGGCCCCCTCGGGGGGGGCAGAGGGAGCACGCTGGAAGCGGTAAAAAAAGCACCAAAATATTAATACCAGCTGGGCATGATGCTTCCTCCGGCATGGACAGGGTTTCGGTCCCTCCTCGACTTGGCCCACAATCGGTAGCCCGTGAGAGTGTGGCAGATCGCGCCAGGACACACTCCGGGAAAGTGAGACGGTCCCCCTCCCCCCGGGGGGCAACAGGGGGTGCCCAAGGGGGGGGGGCATGGTTTACCTCTGCACCGACTCTCGCCTTGCTGAGGGCTGCCCTCTAGATCGCTTCTCCTGGTGCATCTACACACACACACACACACACGCACGCAGACAGACCGGGACAAATACACAGCCTCCGGCCCCCCTCTTGGGCACCCCCTGTGCCAGGTGGCCCACACTGGGCCGAGCCGCACCACTCTACACGACCCCCCCCCCCTCCCTCCCCCGGCCCTTCTCCGCGCATCTTCCTCGCCCTCCTTTTGCCGTGACCCCTGCCGATTGCGGCCTCACTTCCATCGCCCGAATTCGAAGCGCCCGCTCCTCTGGCCCTCGGCTGACCGGTACCCTCGACCGAGTAAACACGGACGCACTGGCGCATAGCTCCCCCTCCCCTCGCCTCTTGCTCCCTCGCCCGGGAGACTCGCCGCGCTCGAACTTTTCTACGCCCCTTCCGGACTTCAGCCCACTGGTGATCATGGCAGGGCAGCATGTCTGATCAGCCTCCCGCCCGCCATGACCCTGGCGGCGGTGCCGGCGCCGGCGGCGGCGGAAACGGCCGCGGTGGCGATGGCTTCAGCGGGGCCGGCGGCGGCAGGCGAGGCCCTGTGCCCCCGGGCAGCCCCGGTCCCCGGGGCAGCGATCTGCCGTTGCCCGACACGCAGAGGCCCCTGACCGCCCCCCCCTCGCCCGGTCCCCCCTCAGCCGCCGGCACTGGCCGGCCCCGAAGCCATCTTGGACGCCGCCCGAAGCCGGCCAAGGTCCACTACAAGTCGCTCTTCGTGCTGCGTGCGTGGTGTCGTGCCGCCGTGCGGTGTGCCTGGCCGGGCCTGCCTCTGCCGCCCTTGACTGACCCTCTGGCTTTGTATCCGGCCCATGGCAGACGTCCAGCTGTATTTTTGGAAGTTAATCCGTCTGATTGGCGATTGCGTGCGCGATGTGCACCAGCCCTTCCTTCGGCTTTTCCACAGCTCCGATGTGGATGCCAGCGTCGAGTGCGATATCTTCTTGCGCTTCAAGGATCGCGACCTGGAGCGGAGCTACTACAAGTTCTTTCGGGCCCATGTACGCCCACTCTCCGCCGCCGCAGCCCCCTGGCCCCCCCGACCGATCACCCCGCCTGGCAAGCACATCCCTGACCCACCTCTGCCCCGGTCGCCGGGGCGCATCTCGCCCGCAGGACCGAAGCACCCTGGTCAACATCCTCCTGATGAGCATGGCCGCAAGCATCCTGCAAGCCCTGCTCTTTTTCATCTTCGACGATTGCAAGCCGTTCAGCGTTTCGCGGGAATGCTTCTCCGGCATTGTCGCCGTGGTGTATGCCAGCATAGGCCTCATCCACTTCCTGTCGGTCATTGTCATCACGGAATTGTGCGTTCTCCCCCCTTGCGCGCCTCCCCTGCTTCCGACACCTTTGGCCATCCGCTACCTTTGCCCTCGGCGGACATTCATCCACACGCACACGCACACGCACACACAGACATCCACGCCTCGCACACTGACAGGTTGCTGTATGCGCGCACACGTCCCGGCAGCCCGCTCTGGGCGGAGCGCAATCTCGAGTGGATCAAACTCTTCTTCTTCACCATCCTGGCCATCACGGTTTTCATCTTCACCTCGGCGATCTTCATTTCGACCGTGCGCCGAGCTCCCCCATGTCCTGTTGCTTGCCCCATTTGCCGGCCTGATCCCGTGGCGAACTTCGACACCATTCGCCGAGTCACTCACCCCTGCTGTCCCTACACCCCCCCCCCCCTCCCCCTCTGCCGGCCGGCTCGAATGCCCAGGTGCCCTTCTACTCGAATGCCGTCATCAGTCAGCGCATCCTGCTCTTCTTGACCATCATTGTGGCCACATCCCGCCTGGAAATCATCTACGGCCTGTCGCTGTCGGTGGTCATCATCGCCATCCATTGGGCCGTGTCCCTGGTGGCCTACTGCATCAACTGGAACAGCATTCGGGACAACCTGCGCTCCCGGCACAATGTCACCAGCCTCCTGCTGTATGGGGCATCGCTATTGATCAATACCCTGATTGCGATGCGCCGAGAGTACGAGTCGCGCATCTTCTTCCTCCAGACGCGCGCCCTCTTCCGGAGCCGGCTCATCATGCAGGATGCCCAGCGGGTGTCCAGTCTGATCATCCGCTCGGTCATGCCCATCAGGTATGTCTGGCCTCTGGGGGGGGGGGGGGGGGGGGCATTTTGCCGGGCGCCCGGGGGTCCCTCCTCCCCGGGCCCCCGGGAGGCCGCCCCTGTCCGCCGGACATGGGGGGGCATTTGGTTGGGGATTCTTCCTGTCACTCACCCCGCCGGTCGCCCCTTGCAACATGCGGCCCTCCCCTCGCCGCCCCGGAAATGGCCGCGCCGCAGCGTGGTGCAAAAGATGAAGCAGGATCTGCGCCTGCGGTCCAAGTCCTTCGACCACATCACCCCGCAGCGGCCGCAGAATCTCAAGAATGTCACCCTGCTGTTTGGGGACATCGCCGGTTTCACATCCTTCAGTTCGTGCATCTCGGCCGAGGAGCTGGTCATGACCCTGAATGCGGTGTTCCTCTGCTTCGACACCCTGGCCCATGCCTACCGCGTGGAGAAGCTCAAGACCCTCGGCGACTGCTATGTAGCCTGCTCCGGGGCCCCGAGCCCCGATCCCGATCACGCCGTGCGGATTTGCCTCTTGAGCTTGGCCATGCGCGACTCGGTGCAGGAGTTCGGCCAAGCCAACTTCATGCGCAACCCGGATGGGTCTCTCTCGGCCCGGGCGCGAGACAGCCCGGCGGCCGAGGGCCGGTGCCCGGTGTGCCATCGCCGGTCTCAATCCACAGCCCGACGGACCGCCTGTGAATTGGGGACCGCCTCGCAGGACTCGGCCGGCAGTGCATCCCCCCCGGCGCTGGGAACCGGCGCGCCAGGGGCCCTGCCCAGCGAGACCTCCAGCTGCCGGCGGTGTGCCATGTTCACCAATGCCAAGCCGCTTCGCATACGCATCGGCATCCACACCGGCACCATGGCCGCCGGGGTGATTGGCTCGCGCAACATGCGCTACGGTGCGCGCCCTCGGGGCCTGGGCCTCCGGGATGCCGGGCTCGGGGCGGCCCTCGGCTGCCTCTTTGCCCCTCTCCCCTCATCCGCGCCTCGCCGCGCCAGCACACATCCAGACGCTGACATGCTCTCCCTGCCTCCCTCTCTCTCTCTCTCTCTCTCTCTCTCTCTCTGTCTCTCTCCCCCGCTGCATCTCTCCCAACCACACCCATGCCGGGTGGCGCCCTGTCGCGCTGGCTCCTGCCAGATCTCTTCTCCAAGGACGTGGAAATCGCCGCGGCCGTCGAGCAGAGCGGCTCCCTCGACAAGCCGCACATTTCCATGACCACCTTCCTGGCCCTCGGCTGCCAGGTGGAGGATTTCCTCATCGAGCCGGCGTCCATCCCTCCGCTGCTGATCGACAAGAACGGCACCACCCTCAACACCATGTCCTTGTTGGACCTTCGCGACACCGGGCCGCGCCATCCGGCCACCGGGCAAGCGCAGTTCCCCCTTTCGCGAGTCATCCAGGCCATCATCGCCGATGCTCGCGCCCAGGTGGCCCTGGGTGACATCATGTCTCTGGCCTCTTCGGCCTTTGCGTCGGCCAACCTCGCAGGCCAGCAAGCCGCTCGGGTGTCCGAGCGTGTTCCCGTGGCCCCGGGGCCCATTCACTGGGTCGTGCGCAAGATCCGCACCCGAGTGCAGGAACGCCGTGCGCAATCCTCTCCCCGGGTGGTGGGCGAGCCCCCTCGGGCCCCGGGGGCCCCTCCGCGCATCGACCACCGCCCGGCCGGCGGCGGCGCTGCCCATGCAACGGCCATGGATCCTGACACTGGCGGCCCGGCGGAAAAGCCCCCCCACAGGCGTCTGTCCCTGCGGCGCGCACCATCGCACGAGTACGAGACGCCGGTGGCCTCCTCCCTCCCTCCCTCCCCCCCCCCCCGGCGCCTGGTGACCAGTTCGCCCTCGGTGGCTGCGCTGCTGCACACGGTGGAACTTCTCCATCGGACTGGTCTTCCCTCGGCTGTGGTCTCTCTCTCTCCCCCCCCCCCCCCCCCCCCCCCCCGCCTTTTGTGCCTCGATTGCCCCCTCGCCCCTGCCTCGCGCCTGCTCTGGTCGCGGGCTTCCGCCCTGCATGGCGCCCGACGCCTGACCCATCGACAATGTGTGCCCTTGCCCGGGCCCGACCTCTTGCCCCGATGGCCGCTCTCTTGCCGACCCTGCAGCCACACGCACCTGGATGACTATTATTCCTCCTCCGGCTCCGAGGGGTCCATCTCATCGGGCTTCAGCGTCGGCATGACCAGCTCCTCCCTGACCCTGGACATGGAGGAGGCCGAGAGGGCGGACGTTCCCAGTGGCACCAGCGGCACCAGCGAGGGGACTTCCACCGCCTTTGCCTCGCGCATGGACAGCAGCATGATGAAAATCAACAAGGGGAACTTCCCCCTCCGCGAACTGGCCCAGTCCCTGCCCCTGCAGGGTGGCTCGGCGTCGCTGGAGCAGGACCCCTTGACCCATGGCTATCAGCCCATTCAGAGTGAGCAAAGTCTGGCCATGCCCCCTCCCTCGGTGCGAGAGGTCTCCCTGGCTCCCCCAGGTCTTTTGCTTCTTCTCGTTTTTTTCTTCCCCGCCCCCGCCCGGCTGGCCCCCCCAGCGCGTCCCGCCAGGGGCGCCACCACGAGAGCGTGCCTTGTCAGGGTAAACCGCCCCCCCCCCCCGTCGCAGGTGTACTCATACATGTGTGTCCTATTGCCCGGAACCCGCCATGCCATGCATGGCAAACGCCGGCTGGCCATCGGCCTCCCTGCATCGCCCCTGGCCCCTTGCATGCCTGCCGCCGCCGCCCCCCCCTATTCTGCGCG